GGTCGAGACTGGAGTACTGAGCAATATGCAAGTGGGGCATGAACCTTCAAGACCAAGGCTTACGCCAGGGGAGGTCGAAAGGCCGGCTCTGTACTTGGAGGCGAGGTCAGTGACGTGTAGTAGAGGAGCCTGTTGGGCAATACTAACAGACCAAGTTGTGCGTGCCTAATGTGTTTAATCGCCAGAACACCTCTCCATGATGGCAAGTAGAGCTCAGTTGCTGTGTAGCGCCATGGTGGAGGCGATCGCCTGAGTCTCATGTGGGTTGTTGGGAGCCTGGGGGTCCAATCCCGCGGCCTCGCAGACCTGGAGAATGAAGGCTCGTAGCCAGAGGGCGATCGTGTTGAGGCTACCTTCCGCTTGCGAGGTCGCAGCTCTATACCGGAATGAAGAGGCGTCGTTGTCTATGGCATTCCTTGGATCGCCGGATATAGCAATGGAGCGCTCTAACCAGATATAGACGGAACTCTAGTTAATCTTCCGCGCCCACAATCGAAGCTAGGGGAGGGATGAGGAACGATCTATCTGGCTGTCATGGGAATTGATTCTTGGCGAAGCAGTCCCAGCGCAGTCCAAGATGCACAGCTCCGTGTGCTCCGTGCTCAAAGCGGAGCAGAGCCTGTAGTTCCGGGATTTACGTCATGGCCGATCTTCCGCAATTGCCAGGACGGAGTTGAGTGCCACAAGGTAGGTCATGATGGTACTGCCCTTGAGCTTACGCTTGTGACGCAGATGGAGCATGAACTCGGCCAGGAATTGAGGCGTGGCAGATGTGGGGTCTTGTTGCTTGCCCCTGCAAAAGTTCTCGAAGTATTGCCACTAGTCATCATAGAGGCTCCTGGTGGCTGGGCGATGTGCCATGGTGATAACCCAAGTTGCTCTGGCCGAGCAGCCTTTGGCGTTTAGTGCTCCCTGTAAATGGATCAGACGTGAAGACATAGCTTGTCTGGTCCTGGGTGTGGCTGTCTGCTGTGAGGGTGGATCAGCAGATTTGGCCTATCTGGAAGTGGCAGTGTGTTGGCGTCAGACAGCTCTCTGCAGTCAACAAACCAAGCCCTCGCTGGCCACCAGGGCGTGACAAAAGTCAGATCGAGGTTCTGTGTCGATCTGCTCTTCTGGACAACCTTGGGAAGGAGTACGGGTGGCGGAAAAGCGTATGCTTTTAGTCCTTCCATGGGGACGCTGAAAGCGTCGACTGCCCAAGCCAGTGGATCTGGGACCGGAGATATGTAGGTCGGGATCTGGTAGTTCTGGCTAGTGGCGAATAGGTCTATGTTAGGGAGACTGTGGTCTCGACAAACAAGAGCGAAGACGTCTGGGTGAAGCTTCCACTCTGTGGGAGCGACTTTGCCTGGCCGAGATAGAGCATCCGCTAGGATGTTTCGGCAGCCCGGAATGTGTTGAACCTGGAACTGAATCCCCAGAGAATCCACCAGGTGAAACAATTGGAACGTCTGTTGAAGAGGCGAGGTCGAATGAGTCGTTCCTTTGCTCTGTAGGCACCATACGATGGTTATGTTGTCTGTCGAGATGGAGAGCCAGGTGTGTCTGAGGGCCTGCTTCCAGTGAGCGATAGCCAAGATAAGCGCCTCCAGTTCGAGGTTGTTGATGTGCCATAGGCGCTGATCGGCGGACCACAGCCCCGAGGCGACCTGTCCCTCCATATGTGTGCCCCATCACTGCAGGGGCGCGTCTAGGAATAGGCGCAGAGATGTCGTAAGCCCTGTCAAGGTGACGCCGCCTAAGACATTCGATTCCACCGACCACCACCGGAGATGCTGCTTGAGATGATCCGGGAGGACGATGGAACATCTGAACTGGGCGGAGTTGGAGCCTTCCTCTGTAGGTCAAGTCCTGTGCTGAGGTTAGGAGGCCCAGGAGGACTTGCCTTTGGCGCAGAGTGCATGGTCGGTGGAGAGCTGGAGTCAGGTGCATGTCGATAGGCGTCCTCCATATCCAGGCTGATGAATACATCCTGTGCCTGCATCCGGGATCGCAGATGGTTATCCTGAAATAAGGTGGACCAGCCAAGAAGCGTTTGTTGAAAGTGGCGAGGTTGTGGATCATCCTGTGTTTGAGTCCTTCTTGGGGACAAGGGAGACAGGTGAAAAGAAGCCCAGTAATGGCTGGGGCATGTATAACCTCTATCGCTTTCTTGTCCAGCAGCGCCGAGATGTACCGGCTTAAACTGGCTTGGTAGATGCTGTTGAGTAGGGGTGTAGGTAGCGGTAGGTCGTCTATAAGCACCAGCTTTTACCAGTGTCGGATGATGTTGGTGACATATGGGTCCCCCAGGATCTCACAATTTTGCAAGAAAGAACCCACTCTCCCACGTACTGGAGTGTTCGACAACTTTGAGGGCTGGGAGTGGAAGTCACAGTCGTGCCTGTCTGGCTATTCACTTGAAGTCACTGCGGTAGGCGTTACCTCCCTTGGAGTGGCCCCGGTGGGACTGTTATGCGCCCGATGCCTTGCCTTTTCCTCTGCCCCGAGAGGTTGAGGTGGTGCCGCGCCACTGGTGCTGTTGGGTGTTGCGTCATTGATGTACAGCGACGGGCGTCTGGTCGAGTGGTTGCAGTGTTACGCATGAGCGATCATGCAAGCCAGTCTGTACAAATACACTGCACAGATCCCATAAGGTCAGTTGACCTGATTACGGTCGACGATGTTTACAGTTGTAGTTCTTGACACGTGACATGTATGTCATCCTGTGCAGTAAACTGTAACCCCGTATGCTGTGTGGACTAGTTCAAGCTCCACACACGGCCAATCCCCTGTGAACCCTGTGGTTGACAGACCAGTGGTGTGTCCGAGTTCTGAGTAGGAACTGTGATGTTGCCGGTGTAGGGGCAAGTTGATCCCCATGATAAGAGTGACGATTGGTCCGGTGTTGTGAACGATGAACCAGTTGGGTACCCGGAATATGACGATTCTGTTGAATACCGAATCGGTCATGGGGTTGTGATCGTCAACTGTGGTGCAGAAAATATCTACCAGACGCTGTAGGTAGGGAAATCTTTGAGAGTACGTTCGCTTTCTCCGAGGAAACGTTCAACTAAAGTTGATAGACAAGGAGAATTGGCGGGAGATTTCCACAGAACTGTCACCACGAGGTTAGGCGCTTCCAGGATATTGGGAAGTGTTGGAGCGCTGTTGTATGGACGCCAATCAAGTGTCCGTGTTGGAACGCCGTTGTACGGATGCCAATCAAGTGTCCAGCGACCGCTCTGGTCTCCGTAGGTAGTTGGCCCTGGGGATCCGAAGATCTCATAGGCCTGTAGAATGAGACCACGTAGCCACAAGGATATCGTGGAATGGCTAATCGTCTGTATGCGCAGTTGTCCCGGTGTGCGTCTGTAGAGGCAATCTTAGGAGAGGCTCACTTAGGAGAAGCTCAAGGAGAGGCGCAACCAGAGACGCTAGGATAGACGCCTTTATGGACGCTGTAGATGGTGCTTTTGTGAAGGCGTCCGACGAGGCACTGGCGTCTGTATAGGCATCCCACAAGGCGCTGGCGTCTGTATCGACGCTGTTTAAAAATAGGCGCTGTCTGTATAGGCGCTTGTAGAGGCGTCTGTATAGGCACTGGGGCAATAGGTGTCGGCGTCTGATGCATGGCTCGCAAGTACTGGATGTACTGGAGGAGAGGGGCGTCCATCATAGGCGTCTGGGCCGTAGACGGGGTGCCTGTTGGGCGCCATGCGTCTGTCCGGCGGACTGGATAGGCGCCGTTAAGATAGACGCAGTAGTGGTCGTCAGGGAGCTCTGGGTAGAGACTGAGACCATGGGGCCTCGGATAAGTCAGACATCTGGCGCCGGTGTTTTCCTGGCCTGTTGCGTTCTCCGTTTCCTTTTGAAAGCTGTGGGGGAAAGCGGGGACAGTCGGTACATCTATGACCCTGGGGACATTTAGATGTAGAATTAAGGCACAGGGGGTGGGGATCCCATGCTGACATATTACGCCGGCACTTTGAGCATGATGGCATGATATCTGCAATGAAGCAGTGTAAAATCACAATGCGTCCCCTCTCGATTACGTATGCTATAATTTGCTTATCCCACTGCGTGGGTTTATAAAACAATTATTATGACAAATGCAAGACAATATACAAAACGAAGACAAAATACTTGCGAGGGTACGCCAATGGTGGGGTACAAAGCAAGAAGAATATAGAATGCAAGCCAGTTAATAACTGGCCACGTAAAATATTCAAGATGGCTACTTGAAACAACAAGACACCTGGGTTTACCATTGTTTTCTTTCTTAAGAAAATGCCAGCAGGTGTACAAAAGTTATGCACCTGTTAAAACATACAATGTTTCACAAGATACAAACCGTGAGCACAACACAAGCACAATGAACATAAAACACGTAAGGGTTTGGACAAGTTTATGCTACAGATCAAAAACAGGTCTTCTCTCAGCAAATGAAAAGAGTAATGTGAGGATCCGTGACATCACTTCCTTTGGTCACGTGGGAGCTGCGTGATAGGGTTGGCCTCTCAGCTAGTTGGAACAACTTTTTCAAGCAAAGACCTTCACACAGCTCTTTTCTCTGTCAAGAACAAGCAGTGATATGCATTAAGGAGTAATGCAGGAAAAGTAAATTGATCATTTATTACGTTCTTACATGCGACAACTGAAGCACTTCTAGTATTATGACAAACTGTAAATGTGAGTGAGTGAGTTGTGTTTAACATTGCTTTGAAAGTATTTCATTTACATCAGCTTGATATGGGAGTGATGCAGGCCTTAGACATTTATTACGGGCATTGGTATGGTGCTCACCAAATCAACTAGAAACATAATCAGGGTAAAATGGGATTCAAGTCCATGATCATAGGTTTAGGGGATGCCAGTAAGGGACGCACTTCAGCACAGCAAATTGCAATGCCCGAGATGACTGGATCACCTGTGCCCCCAGTTATCTGTATTAGAATCAAGATAGAAAGCACTGCTTCCATATCTGCACAACGCTTTGACCATCAAATGTCACCCACCTAGTTCCTCCTCTGGGAGACGCACAAACTTCTTGCCTTCCAACACAAAAGACTCCATGCCATCCAGATCCTCATTCCACTCGGAAGCCAGCGTCTCCTAGAGGGTGCAAATAACTTGGGTCAGTCTACTGGATACATCTTGACATGATGGTTAATGCTGGATAATAAAGTTTTGTGGAACTGATTACGCAGTGTCACCATCCAATAATGACTACAAATCACAATAGATGCATTTATAATGATGAAGCAAACTACACTTTTTATAAACAGCTTGTTACAACTCACAGCTTCATCAGCAGACATGCCTGGCTGCCTGGGCATGAAGAGCGCTGACAGATCCGTCTTCATCTTGTCACGCTCCATGATCACCTGGACAACAAACACATTGCTCAATCACTCTCTGTTAACCCTGTTTTAACTGTTAACTCTAGCCGTGCTAAATATCTGTGACAAACTTTGTGGTACTTGGCTATCAACTCCTTGTTAAACGTGTGCAGTAAATAGGTTCATCCTTGTATGAGTGAGTGAGTGCGATTTTAGGCCACTTCTTGCAATATTCCAGTAATATTTGGCAGGGACTTCAGATATGGGCTTCACAGATTGTATCCATGTGGGGAACCAAACTGGGGTCTTCTGCTTGACGAGTAAACACTTAAACTACTAGGCTACCCCACTGTCGCAACTCACTGTATGACATGGTCATGACATCAGTCAGCTTAAGCGGCCTAGTGGTTTTTGAGGACATTATGTTTACATCCAGTGAAGAATAGCATTGTGAGAATAAAATAATATTGTCAATGTCACATCAAAGAAAAAGTATTAAATATATCCAAAGACAAAACATATTTAGAGCCCCTCTACTAACAACACACATACCAATTTTCACTACCTTTAGAAAATTTATTGCAGTTTAATTATGGCTAGAAGCAGGTTTCACAAAATAATGGCCATATTGAAAATCAAAATGGAACCTTTAAAACGAATTCAGACGTCAACATTGGTGGGAACAAGCATGTCAAATTTAACTTCCTATGCCCTAAGGTTTCTGAGCAGCCTTATACTGAAAATGCCAAGTTTCTCTATTACACAGTCATTTAGGAAATGCCATTGTACACTTCCAGGACCATGTATTTAACAATTACATAGCATATACCATACTGTCCATTAATCATATACAATTGCAGAGGGAACCGACCTTAAGATCAGCTCCTCTGCGAATGACAGACTCTGCAGTTCGGGTATAGTCAACAGGTAGCACATCATCCCAGCCTACGAACTTAGTCTTGAAGATCTGCTGCTCTCCACTGAAACAAAGCAACTTAGTAAAATCTAAATATTTTTTACATTTCTATACTTATCCTGCATTACTCTGTATTGCATTTACTGCTGTCTTTGACAGAGAGACGAACTGTGTGAGATCCAGCTGCTGAAGAAAGTTGTCCCAACCAGCTCAGGAGGCAGCGCCCTCTCACAGTCGGCACGTGACCCGGAAGTCATGACGTCAAACCAAAACACATAACTGCTTTAAACATAACATCTGAAACTTCGTGGGGAGGTAGCGTAGCGAAAGGGAGGGCACTTAGACTTCGTAATGCAGGTTAAGTATACAAATGTAAAAAATATTTAGATTTTACTAAATTTTTAACTTATCCTGCATTACTCCGTATTGCATCTTTATCAGACGGCATGGCCGGTGGGCATACCTGCAGATGTGAACCATAATAAACCCTCGTCAAGGTCCGATGAATCCGCACCGCATACAAGTGATGATCGGAACATCTACGACCATTCCTGTCTTCAGGAAACAAGAGTCGATGCAAAAACGAAACGCCCGAATAGGTAACCGAAATACAATGAGGCGTGTCGCCAAAATATAGAACTTACCGAAGAGCGAAAGCGAAACGCAGTAGAGCCCTCTAATCTGAGGCGATAAACACCAGAGAGTTCGACGGGCCCCGCTCGGGGAATCGAAGAATCAGCGGCGTTGGCGGCAAAATCTACGACCAATCCCAAGAGCGAATGCGAAACGCAGGAGAGCCCTCTAGGCTGGAGGCAAGGAACACCGGTGAGGTCGACGGGCACCGCTCAGTTCTTTGTATCAGAGAAGCAGCGGCGTTGGCGTCGGCGCAAGTGTCCACATCTACTACCATTCCTGTCGTCAGGAAACGAGAGTTGATGCAAAAAGTAAAACCCGGATAGGTGGCAGCAATAGAATGAGTCGGGTAACCCAAAACTAAAACTGACCTAAGAGCGAATGCGGAACGCAAGAGAGCCATCTCGTCTGGGGTTATAAACACCAGAGAGGTCGACGGGCCCTGCTCAGGGTATCGGAGAATCAGTGGCGTCGGAGATAGATGACCTGTTGAGCTACAACCAGGGACCAAAACTGTGAACGCCGGCGGCAACTTTCAAGGCTACATCACGTAAGTAGTGGTGGGTGAAGGCGGTGTCCGATCGCCACGAACAGGCTTCCCTGAACGACTGGATGAAACAGTATACCGTGAAGAACCAGTGTAAATATGATCGCCCTGATCTCGATTTATTTCAGGTGATAGCCTTTTGGGGGAGGGTCCAATCCGGCGGCTTCATAAGCTTTAAGGATGACCGCCCGGAGCCACAGGGAAAAGTATTCCGGCTGCCCAACGACTGCGGCGAAGGGGAGACCGGCAGAAAAAGGTGTTTCCTAGACTTGCGGCAGTCTTTAGATCGTCGTAGAATAACCTTCAGTGCCCTTACTGGGCATAATGACGCTCTTCCTCATCCTCGGCACCCACAATGGACGAGGGGGGAGGGGACAAGGAATGATCTATCAGGCTGTCCTGGGAGTTGAGTCTTTACGCTGACGTCCCAGTACGGTCCATGATGAACGGCGCCCTGGGTACCGCAATCGAACCGGGCACGGGAGACGTCGAGGGCGTGCTGTACATGGACTCGAGCGGCAGTAGTCAAAACCAGGAGAAACACCCGTCTTCTACTTAAGGTCATAGAAGGAAGACGAGGGGAGTTGTTCGAAGGGCGTTGAAGACCACATTCAGATCCAACGCAGGCGGTCCGAACTTGGCCTTCAGGTCCTGAAGACTGAACGAGCGCAGCCAGGCCCGTAGGTCGGGAATTTTCGTCTTTCTCCGATCGTCCGGGATGGCCAGAACGGAGTAGATGGCGACCAGGTATGTGGGGGTGGTAAGCCCTTCAACAGACGGGTGCTACGCAAGTACAGAAGGAACTGATCCAGTATCTGCGGTGACGCTGTCATCGGATCCTGGTGTTTGTCAGAACAAAATGCCTGGAACGAGCATCATTTATCAGCATACAGTCCCCCTGTAGAAGGACGATGGGCTGAAGCAATAGCCTTGGTCGCTCTAGCCGAATAGCCCTTGGCTTTCTGCTGTTGTGTCAGGCGTGCAGACGATAACATGCGGGTATTAGGGTGTGGCAACAGACCGTGTGAATGGAGCAGAAGGTTGGACCACACGGGAAGGTCCAGGGGTTGTCTCTGGCTATGTTTCGGAGGTCGATAACCCAACTTCTGGCTGGCCAATAAGGCGAGACCAAAGTCAATGGCAGGGGTTGAGTGGCCTGGATCTCTGAAGAACCGTGGGAGGGAGAACCGGAGTCGGAAAAGCGTACGCGCGTAATCCTTCTCAGGAACGATGGAAGGCTTCGACTGCCACAGTGGTCGTATCCGGCACAGGTGGAATGGAAGACGACAGCTGGCCATAATCAGATATGAGGCAAACAGATCTAGGGTTGGGGTGTTGACCGTTTGACATAGTCAGGCCCGAGGTGCCGGAGAGCGTGAGGCGATGGAGAGCTTGAGGCGCCTGGAACGCCGGAGATGGTGATTCTCGGGGGCGCCGGGAGAGGGGCGAGTCCTCTGGGTCCGCAAACACCACACTTCGGTGACGTCGTCAGTGGACACGATCAACAGGGCGTGACCGAGAATGCACTGTCAGCAAGTGACGTCCTGGATAAGCCTTTATCTCGAGGCTGTTGCTGTGCCAATGGTGTTGATCTCTGGATCACAGGTGGTCACAATGTGGGCTGGTGTGGGCCACTAGCCACTGACAAGGTGGCAGGGGGGGTAGTCAGCAACAGGGGTCTGCGATTGCGTACCGTCGGTACGATTCGGAAAAAAGGTGGGCTCGCCTGCAAACCAACCTCAAGTAGACGAAGTAAACCAGCTTCACAATCGACCGCCGGGGCATTGACGTAACCGGGTAGTAGGAAGTCGAGGCAATATGGCCATTGCACGAAGTAATGAGATCGTTTTCATCCCTGAAGCGGCGTATAAGTACTCCTGTTCTTATATCAAGGTGACGATGGAGGACGACAACACAATACGAGGCAGATATGCAACAGGGGTCAGCGGGACGGCCGAGGGACTTTAAGTCTCAAATCGACACTGTGTCCGGTAGTCAAGGCGGAAGATAGGAAGGTGTCGTAGTCGAAAAGATCAAACCGGACGAAGGAAGGCGACCTTTTCCATCCCTTGAACGCCTATAGGCGCTATCGTTCTTATAGCGAAGGGTTGAAGAAACAAGGTTCCTCGTGACAGCCGTGTTGGTAGAGGAGGTCTATTGTTTCCAACATCCGTGCATGGATGGACTGCGACAGGCGCCTGGTTGAGTGGTTGCACCAAGCGTGCAGGTAGACAAGGAAACCAATCTGTAGAAATACATGGCACCCCTTGCCATGGTAAGTTGACCTAATTCCGGTCGGAGATGTTGACAGTCCGAGTACTTGACACGTGACATGTAAATCACACTGCGCAGTAGCCGAGAAAACCGCCTTGGAGTCGGAACTGAGGTGCACACTCCACACACAGACAATCCTCAATGAACTGTGTGAGAGACGAACAAGTGGTGTACCCGAGTTTTGCGATAAAACACGGAACCCCATGGGCGTCGTGGAAAACCCGGGGAGCACCGAGGAAGAGTCTCTTTCAGGAACGCTGGCGCTAGGATAGGGTAGAACAGCGTTGGTGTCGGCGATGTCGACGAAGTAAACTCTTTATAAGTGGATGTCGTCGTCGAATCTGATACAGACGCTGTTCACATGACGCTCTGTTTCGATAGAAACCCGCAGGTCATCTCTCCGGAATCATAGCGCTTTAAACAACGGGAGTATGGATAACGTCTCAGTGGGCAAGTTGAATCAGACCAACTATCTATTGGTTGAAAAGATTCCACCCAGGAAGTAGAACGATAGTCACGATCCCGAAGACCGACGGGAGAGTAGCGACAGGAGCGGCGACAGTTGTTTCACCATGCTTCTCCGTGTGACGAGTTATGAGACAGCAGCAAGAGAAGAAGAGGGCAGTGGCGCCGGGGAGGCGATTGCCGATGGTGCCCCTTAAGCCGAAGTAGAAGATCGGATACTCGGCTCGTTGATCTGAGCTTGATAAAGCTTGTTGATCTGGGCGCCGGAGGTCATCTTAGGCGGATATATCATAGGCGCCAGAACTCTGGAGGCGCCGGGAGCGCCGTAACTCAAGAGGCACCGGAGTAGTCAGAGGCGCCAGAGACATTAGAGGCGTCGAAAATCATGAGAGGCCTCAGAGGCGCTGGGAGCGCCGAAGACATCAGAGGATGTGGAGGCGCCGGAGCGCAGAGACATCAGAGGCGCCGGAGCGCGGAGGCATCAGAGGCGCCGGGACATCGGAGGCGCCGAGACATCAGAGGCGCCGGAGTCGCCGAGACATCAGAGGCGCCGGGAGCGCCGAGACATCAGAGGCACCGAAGCATCAGAGGCGCCGGGAGCGCCGAGACATCAGAGGCGCCGGGAGCGCCGGGAGCGCCGGGAGCGCCGAGACATCAGCGTTGACGGTGTTGGAGACCGTGAACGGTCGTATGTCGTGCCATGGGAGGCAGACTCTATGTTGGGAGCGCTGGAGCCGCCGGTGGAGTAGGAGACTGTGAACGGTCGTATGTCGTGCCATGGGAGGCAGACTCTGCCATGGGAGGCAGGGATACAAAGTACGTCCGTCCGTGGAGGTGACAAAGCAGTTATGTATTTTGGTTTGACGTCATGACTTCCGGGTCACGTGCCGACTGTGAGAGGGCGCTGCCTCCTGAGCTGGTTGGGACAACTTTCTTCAGCAGCTGGATCTCACACAGTTCGTCTCTCTGTCAAAGACAGCAGTAAATGCAATACGGAGTAATGCAGGATAAGTTAAAAAATATCAACATTTACATAGCCAACCATTAGTATGAGAGAGACCAGCATGATAATGTCAAAAAACAAAGGTATGGTGAAATGGGGTTTAATGTCAGGCTCAAGATTTATGCACATTTATTGCAACATGTGTGTGTGTGTGTGAATGTTTGTGAGTATGTGGGTGCCAGCCAGGGTATCAACAAGTACCATCCTTTAGTGTCTTTTGGTACGATGTGGCTGGGTATTGACCAAAAAATTACTCATTTGAGCATCAGTTTAGTTCAGATAAAAACTACAATGTTCAAAATTTTGTGAAAATAAATAAGCTTCAAAAGCTTTTCCAAGGCACTAAATGACCTCTTATACTCACCCTTCCAAACAGCGAGAAACACTGGCATACTTTGGCCTTTCCATCATTGAATAGAGTTCCTGAGAAAGCTTCAGTGCTGCTGCTCGAATCAGTCTGGTGGATTTCTTGCCTATCCTGAAATCAATCAGAAAATATTCTTCTTCAAATGATCCAATTGGGGTGTAACAGTAAATATATGCTGCACAACCCTGTTGTGGAGGACACAAAGGAAGGGTGGATTAACTCTACTTGGAATCTGCATGATGACACAATGTCTTCCTCACTATCAGTACCAAATTCTATTTTTCACACAAATGATCTGATCAAAGAAAATTTGGCTGCATTAATAATGAAAGCTCAGTCCTTTCTCTGTGTTGAATACCTACCAGACAAACACATCGGAGTTGCAGTCGAGGATATACACACATTTTGTGTCTAGTAATCTCTGCACCAACTTTGCCTTGGGAATCTCAACTGCAACAGGCATATAAACAATTGTCTTGAGTAAATGAACATCTCCAGGTATAACCTAGGTGGGGACATTCATATACCCATAGTATAAACAACATGAAATTGAGCATACCCTTACCTATTCCAGAAGATGCTGGCAGTGGAATACAGAGTGTCAACCCACTTGTCTTCTTATACCCTGACCATTCCAGAAGATGCTGGCAGTAGAATACAGAGTGTCAACCCACTTGTCTTCTTACACACTTCCTCGACTTATGACTTATCCTTGCATCTCCACATAAGCTTGCAGGGGTTTGAGACTAAAGATAGTGATAGTGTCCTTGAACCAATACCATGCAAGGAATGCCCCTCTGTCTGACAAAGGCTCTCACACTTACCTTGAGGCAAGTTGAGGTAGCCTTTCCCAAGTTCTACCCTGTATAAACGCGGTTCTATCAAGCCAAAACCAGACTGTTCACTTTCCTGAAACAATTTGAAAATATTATTACAGGTATCTAGAGTGCTTATTAGCTGATGGGGTCATTGATGGCACAGATACTACAAGAATGTTCCTCAGGTGTAAAGTGATATACAACAAAGCTTTATACAAATAAACTGGCAAGAAAAGAAGAGAACATGACATTTTCTAAAGAAATGAGGATGCAATCTGAAAATAATACCACTGAATGTTCGGTCACTTGGTGATAACTATGTGCCAAAATACACCTCTTTCACTGCACCTACATTTGGTGACTTGCTTTGCACATATATTTTTGATTAACAATCTTATTGAAAAAGACTCACACATCTGTGTGAACCACAGACTGTACTATCTCAAAATGTTTTAGGGTAATAGGCTTCAGTTTGGTACATGTCAGTCACTACAGCAGATACACAACAGCCAGACTCTACCGAATCATTGGACAAACAGCCAATCAAATTACCGACCACCTATACAATGTTACAGAGTTAGAGTTTCTGGGAAAACTATTTGAAATGGATTTCATCTGCAAGCTCAACTGCAACTGATTGTGACCATGATGACTGATTGCCACATTTGAGCCTGCTTTCCATGGCACAAAAGACCTCCACTTCCCAGATATGTATCTCTATAAAACAGATCCCTACAATTAGGTGATAAACCTACTGTGTTTTGAAATTTGATGTAGTCCCACTGTAGAGTAGATACCTCTTATTTAAATTTGGTACGAGCGCTTTAGTGTGAGGTCTCAAATGTATAAATAAGAGGTATCTACTCTATAATGGGACTACATCAAATTTCAAAACACAGTAGGTACCTCCATTCTACCCTGACCGCAGCGTAACAACACAGGGTACAATCTTAGAACATTACGAAAAGTGGTCACAGGTAGTTATATATGTAACAAATATTACTAAAGTTCAACATTAAAATACCAACAGTCTTGAGTAGTTCAAAATTAGTAAAATATAAATATTTTTTATATTTGTATACTTATCCTGCATTACTTCTTAATGCATTTACTGCTGTTTCCTGACAGGGATGTTTTCTGTTTGAGATCCAGCTGCTGAAGAAAAGTTGTTCCAACCAGTAGAGGCAGCACCCTCTCACAGTCGGCATGTGATCCGAAAGTATCATCAAAACACATAACTGCTTTTAACATAACATCTGGAACTTCGTAGGGAGGCAGCGTAGCGAAGGGAGGGCACTTAGACATCGTAATGTAAGTATACAAATGTAAAAAATACTTAGATTTTACTAATTTTTTTAACTTATCCTGCATTCCTCCTGAATGCATCTTTATTAAACGGCACGGCCGGTGGGCATACCTTCAGATGTGATCCATAATAAACCCTCGTCAAGGTCCGATGTATCCACATGCATACAAATGATGACCGGAACATCTATGACCATTCCTGTCTTCAGGAAACAAGAGTCGATGCAAAAAGGTAAAACCCGAATAGGTGACAGAAATAGAATGAGGCGGGTAGCCAAAAACTAGATGGTAGAGCCCTTCAACCAACGAGTGTTGTGCAAATAAAGGAGAAACACCAGGAACTGCGGTGACGCTGTTAATGGATTCTGGCGTTTGCCTGAGGAGAGGGCCTGGAAGGAGCACCCTTTGTCGACATACAGACCCCGTGTAGACAATAGGCTGAAGCAATAGCCTTGGCCTTTCAAGCTGAGTAGCTTGTAGCTCCTAGGGCATTCGGCAGAAGTGTCAGGTGTGCATAAAAACCAGGCGGGGTTCAGCTGTGGCAATCTGCTGTGTGGTGTAACAGGAGGTTGAGCCACATCGGAAGGTCAAGGGGGTTGCCTCTGGCAAGGGCTTCGACGACAACAAACCAGTACCTCGCTGGTTACCAGGGTGCGACCAGAATCAGTGGTCGAGGGGCCTGGAACATTTGAAGAACCCTGGGAAGGAGAGCCAGAGGCGGAAAAGCATATGTGGATAAACCTCCCCTGGGAACGCTGAGGGCTGACTGCCATAGATGATGGATCTGGCACCAGTGAGATGTAAGATGTCCCCTGGCAGTTCTGGGATGTGGCAAACAGATAGAGTTGGGGGGGGAGACGATCTTTTTGCAGATCAAGGTGAACACATCTGAGTGGAGGAACCACCCGTGGGAGCCACTATGTAGACGAAATAAACCCGCTCCACAACCGACTGCCGAGGCATTGACTTAACCAGTTAGTCGGAAGTCGAAGCAATGTCCATAAGATGAGGTGGAAATCTGGAAAACTGTGGTACTGGAAGAATGCACTGTACTGCACGCAATAATGTGATCATTTACATCCCCTGAGCATCGTATAAGCGCTCCCGTTCTTATATCGAGGTGACGATGAAGGAAGGCAACACAATACTTTGTATGTAGTCAACAGGGGTCGGCGGAACTGTCATGGGAAGAATTAGAAAATCGACGCTGTATCTGGTAGCCAAGGCTGAAGATATAAAAAAGTTGTAGTCTGAAAGATCCTACCGTATGAAGTAAGGCGATCATTTCCATCCCTTGAGTGCTGTATAAGCCCTAAAGTTCTAATAGCAAGGGGGCGATGAAACGTGGTGCCGTGTTGGTGGCAGAGGTCTACCGTTTCTATCCTCTGCACATGGATGGACTACGACAGACTTCTGGTTGAGTGGTTGCACCATGCGTACAAGTAAGCATGCAAACCAATCTGTAGAAATATATGACACTGCTTCCCATAGATTAGTTGACCTAATTCCGGTCAGAGTTGTTTCCAGTCCACATACTTGACACGTGACATGTAAATCACCCTGCACAGTAGCCGAGAAAACCGCATTGTAGCCGGGATTGAGGTGCAATCTCCACACATAGACAATCCCCAATGAACTGTGTGGTAGGCAAACAAGTGGTGTACCCGTGTTCTGCGAAACGTGGGTACACCAGGAGCGTCGTGGAAAACCCGGGAGCACCGTGGAAGAGCCTCTTTGAGGAATGCTGGTGCTAAAACAGGGTAGAAGAGCATCGACGAAGAAGACAGTGGATGTTGTTGTTGGATGGCAGGGCCGGTGCAGAGCAAAAATGAACACTGTGATATGAGAGACGCCTTGTCCTGACAAGTCAACGATTATCCCGAGAAGTGGGTACCCGTAGCCTTTGACGATGGGGTCAAACAGGCGAAATGAGTGTGAACATGAAGATCTGGGAGGTCATCTCTTCTGGCGCTTTAAAAGACGGGGTTAAGGAGAACGTCGCAAATCAAAACCTCATCCAGACAACCAGTGGGTAAGTTGAATCAGACCAAATGTCTACTCGTTTGAAAAGATTCCTCCCAGGAATCTGAGAGTTAGTCACGATCCCGACGACGTACAGGAGAGTGAGTATGGTTTTACGCCGCTTTTAGCAATATTCCAGCAATATCACGGCGGGGGACACCAGCAATGGGCTTCACACATTGTACCCATGACAGGACTCGAACCCGGGTCTTCGGCATTATAAACAAAGGCTTTAACCACTAGGCTACCCGACCGCCCCACGTACAGGAGAGCAGCTACAGCAGCGGCAACATTTTTGAAAAGACGTGGTTTCACCCTGCCTCTATTGTGACGATCTATGAGAGTCAGTAATCGAAAAAGGTACCAGTGGTGCAGGTGAGGCATCTCTGGATCGGCAAGGGCGTTGCAGCTGTCGACGTAGATGGCAGATGAGACGGAAAGGCGATAAAGGTGAGGGCAAGGGAGGCGTAGGAGACCGCTGTCTCCAAGCTTTTATTCCAAAGATAAATGTTTTATGACTCACCAAGTCATTTCTTGGAAATCAGTGAGAGACAGGTTGTTGAAATAGTTTTAAAAATGCTAAAACAATATATTTCTCCAACAAACTATGAATTAACATTCTACTATTTATTCAACATGTGTAAGTCTTATTAGTTAGTTAGCAATTACCCCCAGTAAATAATAAACAAATCAAAATAAATACCTCTCCACCCCAAACTTGGATGTGGCAGAATTTGACTGACATCACGCTTACTTACACCTCACAACTGTCAATGGCTGCCAATGTTGTTGTTTACCTTACCCTACACGAAGCAAGATGACAACCCTGATCTATGATGTGGTAAAACATTAACATGTAGATTTACTGGGAATGAGCCTGATGGTACAATGTGATTACCAATGGAACTGAGTGTGACTGAACAGCAGCTTTTCAGGCTGCAGACGAGTCGGCTATGTGACACGAGGAATCTGCATGACTTGACCTCTCAATTTCAAGATTTTACGGATCCATAGCCAGCATGTGAAAGCAATGAGACATTTGTGGCCCAGAAATAGTGGTTCGTGCATGTTTTTCTTAATAGTGCGAGTTCTGAAATAACTTTCATCAAGTTTGACAAGCTGTGACTTTAGTGATGTCAGGACATTGTTTTCGTGGCCTTTCGAAGTGACAAGTGTTTTCTGATGGACTTTCAAATCCCCTCCTGCCAAATCCTTACGGTTGTGGTTGACGGAGATGGCATTGAATATCAACCACAAAAAGGTTTGTAAACAACTTGTAAAGTTTCTTCAAACATATTTATATAATGTTATATTTTACTTTCATTGTAGGTTGTTTCAATGATGATCGAAACTGCCTTTTCCTAGTCTGTTTGCTTCGAACATGTCCCTAACAGTTTCACAAAAGTTTCATTTGTATGCAAAAGATATGTCTTTGTGTAGTCTCGTAATCTCATCACTGAAGCAGTCAGGATTACGGCCTAGAACAACATATCGTCATAAAAAACATCGATATCAAACTACCGTATTTCCTCTATAAGATGCTAGGCCATCTATTAATTTCACAGGAGCCATTGACTTGGCATGTATTAGAGACCTGGCTTGTATTAGAGGAAATATTGATATGTTTTACATTTCCTATTACGGTACTGTTTGATCAGCCTACCATTTTTTTATAAATCGATATGTAGGCTATCAATGTATTCATGTGCATGGTTTTTTTGTGTGAAAAGGCTTACTATATTTAAAAGGGGTTTCCTTAGCAAAAAGGAACCACCCGTTCTCAACAAGATGAAACTCAATACTAACATGGATTTACACTGAATTATAATGGATTTCTTTTGGAAATATTAACTAAAGAGGTGAGTAAACCATACTCCTAATTTTTTACCCTTACAGCTAACTCTGGGAATTGGAGGTAGTCATTTGTGAAAGGAATGTCAGCTGAGGATATATTTGCATAAACTATGTATCTGTGGTACATTCTTGGAGTACCTGTACTGACAGTGGTGACTGAAGGATCACATTGATAATGTGTACTAGCATGAAATGTATGTAGTAAATACAGAAAATGTTACCCTTATCCTCTTATACTCTTATCAGTGTAGCGAGGCTGCAACACATGTTGGCATTAGGACCAAGTACCATGGTGGTACGTGTTCACACCCACCTTCACCACTAGAGAGGGAGGTGGACCACCCACAAGTCTCCAGAACTCAGCTGTCTCCTGACCCTGGGGCAGGACGAAGATCTCAGCCTTGTTCTTACGCTCATTTTTGTTGATCTTCTCGGATATCAACCTGCACAAATAGCCACGTTACACAGTACAATCGACATAACAGGAACATTAGGCCCAGACACTATTCAGTGAGCTGAAAGTTACATGAATCGACATGTTTAGCCATCAAGGAAGGAATGTGTGGCTCTGTAATATGGTCTGCTTGAGAGAAAAGAATAATCTCAGTGTAATATTCATATTCTTATTACATGGGAACGAAAATTCAGCAGGCTCAGTATAGGCTCAGCACATTTGGTAAAGCAGTTTTGCTGATCACAGTTTTGGGACGATATTCCAACATTGCCAACAATGGCCACAGTTAGTGCAATAAGTGTAGCCTAAATGTAACATATTATGGTATCTCTACACAGTTTTGTCAAGTGTGAACTTTGTTGGTCCAGACCAATTCTAAATTTTGATTTTAGCATACAATGATCTCAGCAGTGGGACAGCTCTCCTTTGAAACTCTAACTGAAAACACTCCTTTGACAAAAGTGTGATAAGTACCTGGATTTTTGGATGTGAGGGGACGATCAGCTGTGTGTTGCTGAATCGAGGTTTTACATTCTTTACTGTTTGAGAAGTGGTTCGTTGCAATATATGGAAGTCTATTTATTTATGAACACATTTCCTGAATAACAGTGCTCCATTTGAGTACTTGCCTGATGTGTATTTAGAAGTGCAAGTGAAATGTAAACAAACATTGTGTTTTTATCCCAGTCTGGATAGGGCATTACCTGGTTTTTGTTTTTGTCACACCTTTGGAAGTTTTGCCCACCCACACAAACAGCTTAAGTCCAGTGTCCAGCAGGAAGACATGGCGATAGTCCAGGCTGCTTACATTGGCAGGGCACTGCACAGAGCAAACACAAGTATCAACCACTTGGCTCAAGTCAGGGGAGGGTTAGCTTACACAAGTATCAACAACTTGGCTCAAGTCAGGGGAAGGTTAGCTTACACAAGTATCAACAACTTGGCTCAAGTCAGGGGAGGGTTAGCTTACACAGGTATCAACAACTTGGCTCAAGTCAGGGGAGGGTTAGCTTACACAAGTATCAACAACTTGGCTCAAGTCAGGGGAGGGTCAGCTTACACAGGTATCAACAACTTGGCTCAAGTCAGGGGAGGGTTAGTTTGCCTATGTTAAACATGGCAGCAAGGAAATTGTTTGGATGAAGCATAAGCATAAGATATAAGCATAAGATATAAGCATAACGATCTTAACTTTATGGTCAAATGTACTGTTCAAGTTTATCTATAAGTAAAGGAACTGGAGCAGTTTTAAAAGCAGCCATGTTGACAGCAGGCCCTCTCTGATTATCACATATATGCATCAAAATATATAGTGCAACAGCACTGTATCTCACCTTGTTATACAATCAACATAGTTTTCTTGATAAAAACTATAAAATTAACAAACCAGAACAGGTATTGACTTTTCACCATTAATTTCAGCACAAATGTGCACACAACAGTAATCAGCAAGAATTGATTTGATTGTCAACGATGCAGCAGTCGTCCAATAAATTTATTCATATTTCGGCAAGTGACAATCACAGCAGAGTTGCTTCCCTTCCATTGAGAAATTGCAAGCTCCTCACAGTGAAACCCCTTTTATTGAGCTCTCTATACTATTGTTGCTACAAGTCAAAGCTGCCCACTGTGAAAGGTGACCACAATCATGCTTGGAGTGTGTGGAGTCGCAACCGACTGACCGTTATGTTTACAAATAAGTGATGACTACCGTGACACCAAATATTCTTACACCAATTATTTTCTTTGTTTGTCAATTCGAATTATTATTTCATTTCAAATATCATGTAATTCGTATAAAGGTAACGGGGAAGTTAGGTGATTTTCCGTTAGTCTTCAAATCTCGAACCAATCTGATTAAACAAACAAAAAAGAAAATTCAACTGGGAAATTAGTGCTAAACCTTTTCAAAATTCAATATGGAGGAATTCCCAAAACAAAATTTTAAAGTGACTACATTTGGGGTTAGAAGGCAAATTTCAAGATTCTTGTAATGGCCGCTTCCACACTGACGGCAGTGATGTTACTGAGAGTGAAAAGAAGGTGTCAGGCATTGGGAAGGAGCTTGGAGAAATTGACCTATATTTTAGTGTTGCTGGCTTTTTCAGAAATAAGGAAAATCAATTTGTCAGACCCATAATATAAGAAAAGACTGTTCAGGACTTGGTTAAAAAAAAAAAGAATTGTTTTTTTACCGTTGATGACTTCACTTAAACTATATTATGGGAACATTTGTTTGTTTGTTGTTTAAAGCTGTACCTAGTCATATTCCAGCTATAGGACATTATTATGATAACAACCATCTATGCTGAGTATTAGCACACTTCATGCAATCGATTCTGAGAGAGGTGGGCAAGTAATTCTCACAGCTTCTACTGCACCATAGTTGAATTCCAATCATGATGACTTGAACAAACTAGAATCTACTCACACCATCATCAATTAAACAAAGTTTCATCTTTCAAAGTTGGGTGATTTCTTGAAAATGATTTTCTAATAAATTAGTCTTTTGGTAAAATTTCCACAACAAAAAGTTTCAGTCCAGTAGTTGCAGAGAAGATGTTTATAGAACCAGAAACACTTTTTGGGATGATTTAAGGGCATGTAAATATCAAGGTTAAATGTAAAATATTGGAAAACCCCTTAGAGCAACGCAAACTAGAAACATTTTGAAAAAAATGGCCACATAATGGCTATTTTGAAAATAACATGGCTTCCATTTTGGACATATTGAAAAAAACATTTTCAAATCTCTTTGGGTGATATTGTAAGTAGAACCAAGTATGCCAAGTTTTATTCATCCGGTCCTCTGAGGGAAGTTGGATTACAGCTGCTGATGATGGACAAGCAGGCCATTACATAAGCTCACTTGATTATCAGTCAGGTGAGCTGATAAATGGATATCGCTTTGCCAACATATTGGCATTATCACTCAAATCAAGTCTTCCACAAACACAGACTGTTGATATGTATTATGTTTTTTCACCCTCTCCATGTGAACAGACTGTGTCCCTGTGGCTTTGTACAACTTCGTCTCATACTCCTGCAATACAAGTAAAAAACAAATCACTCAACAAGTACTGGCTGTTGTTCAGTAAACATAAAGATAGCAGGACAAGTACTGGCTGTAGTTCAGTAAACATAAAGATAGCAGGACAAGTAGAGGCTGTAGTTCAGTAAACATAAAGATAGCAGGACAAGTAGAGGCTGTAGTTCAGTAAACATAAAGATAGCAGGACAAGTAGAGGCTGTAGTTCAGTAAACATAAAGATAGCAGGACAAGTAGAGGCTGTAGTTCAGTAAACATAAAGATAGCAGGACAAGTAGAGGCTGTAGTTCAGTAAACATAAAGATAGCAGGACAAGTACTGGCTGTAGTTCAGTAAACATAAAGATAGCAGGACAAGTAGAGGCTGGAGTTCAGTAAACATAAAGATAGCAGGACAGGTACTGGCTGTTGTTCAGTAAACATAAAGATAGCAGGACAAGTAGTGGTTGTAGTTCAGTAAACATAAAGATAGCAGGACAAGTAGTGGCTGTAGTTCAGTAAACATAAAGATAGCAGGACAAGTAGTGGCTGTAGTTCAGTAAACATCAAGATAGCAGGACAGGTACTGGCTGTAGTTCAGTAAACATAAAGATAGCAAGACAAGTAGTGGCTGTAGTTCAGTAAACATAAAGATAGCAGGACAAGTAGTGGCTGTAGTTCAGTAAACATAAAGATAGCAAGTGAGTGAGTGAGTATGGTTTTACGCCGCTTTTAGCAATATTCCAGCAATATCACGGCGGGGGACACCAGAAATGGGCTTCACACATTGTACCCATGTCGGGAATCGAACCCGGGTCCTCGGCGTGACGAGCGAACGCTTTAACCACTAGGCTACCCGACCGCCCTAAAGATAGCAAGACAAGTAGTGGCTGTAGTTCAGTAAACATAAAGATAGCAGGACAAGTACTGGCTGTAGTTCAGTAAACATAAAGATAGCAGGACAAGTACTGGCTGTTGTTCAGTAAACATAAAGATAGCAGGACAAGTAGAGGCTTGAGTTCAGTAAACATAAACATAGCAGGACAAGTAGTGGCTGTAGTTCAGTAAACATAAAGATAGCAGGACAAGTAGAGGCTGGAGTTCAGTAAACATAAAGATAGCAGGACAAGTAGTGGCTGTAGTTCAGTAAACATAAAGCTAGCAGGACAAGTAGTGGCTGTAGTTCAGTAAACATAAAGATAGCAGGACAAGTAGTGGCTGTAGTTCAGTAAACATAAAGATAGCAGGACAGGTACTGGCTGTAGTTCAGTAAACATAAAGATAGCAGGACAAGTAGAGGCTGGAGTTCAGTAAACATAAAGATAGCAGGACAAGTAGTGGCTGTTGTTCAGTAAACATAAAGATAGCAGGACAAGTACTGGCTGTTGTTCAGTTAACATAAAGATAGCAGGACAGGTACTGGCTGTTGTTCAGTTAACATAAAGATAGCAGGACAGGTACTGGCTGTTGTTCAGTTAACATAAAGATAGCAGGACAAGTAGTGGCTGTTGTTCAGTAAACATAAAGCTAGCAGGACAAGTACTGGCTGTAGTTCAGTAAACATAAAGATAGCAGGACAGGTACTGGCTGTAGTTCAGTAAACATAAAGCTAGCAGGACAAGTACTGGCTGTAGTTCAGTAAACATAAAGATAGCAGGACAGGTACTGGCTGTAGTTCAGTAAACATAAAGATAGCAGGACAAGTACTGGCTGTAGTTCAGTAAACATAAAGATAGCAGGACAAGTACTGGCTGTAGTTCAGTAAACATAAAGATAGCAGGACAAGTACTGGCTGTAGTTCAGTAAACATAAAGATAGCAGGACAGGTACTGGCTGTAGTTCAGTAAACATAAAGATAGCAGGACAAGTACTGGCTGGAGTTCAGTAAACATAAAGATAGCAGGACAAGTACTGGCTGTAGTTCAGTAAACATAAAGATAGCAGGACAAGTACTGGCTGTTGTTCAGTAAACATAAAGATAGCAGGACAAGTACTGGCTGTTGTTCAGTAAACATAAAGATAGCAGGACAAGTACTGGCTGTTGTTCAGTAAACATAAAGATAGCAGGACAAGTACTGGCTGTAGTTCAGTAAACATAAAGATAGCAGGACAAGTACTGGCTGAAGTTCAGTAAACATAAAGATAGCAGGACAAGTACTGGCTGTTGTTCAGTAAACATAAAGATAGCAGGACAAGTACTGGCTGTAGTTCAGTAAACATAAAGATAGCAGGACAGGTAGTGGCTGTTGTTCAGTAAACATAAAGATAGCAGGACAAGTAGTGGCTGTTGTTCAGTAAACATAAAGATAGCAGGACAAGTACTGGCTGTAGTTCAGTAAACATAAAGATAGCAGGACAAGTACTGGCTGTAGTTCAGTAAACATAAAGATAGCAGGACAGGTACTGGCTGGAGTTCAGTAAACATAAAGATAGCAGGACAGGTATTGGCTGTAGTTCAGTAAACATAAACATAGCAGGACAAATAGTGGCTGTAGTTCAGTAAACATAAAGATAGCAGGACAAGTAGTGGCTGTAGTTCAGTAAACATAAAGATAGCAGGACAAGTACTGGCTGTTGTTCAGTAAACATAAAGATAGCAGGACAAGTACTGGCTGTAGTTCAGTAAACATAAAGATAGCAGGACAGGTACTGGCTGTTGTTCAGTTAACATAAAGACAGCAGTACAGGTACTGGCTGTTGTTCAGTTAACATAAAGATAGCAGGACAAGTACAGGCTGTTGTTCAGTTAACATAAAGATAGCAGGACAAGTACTGGCTGTTGTTCAGTAAACATAAAGATAGCAGGACAAGTAGAGGCTGTTGTTCAGTAAACATAAAGATAGCAGGACAAGTAGAGGCTGTAGTTCAGTAAACATAAACATAGCAGGACAAGTAGTGGCTGTAGTTCAGTAAACATAAAGATAGCAGGACAAGTAGAGGCTGGAGTTCAGTAAACATAAAGATAGCAGGACAAGTAGTGGCTGTAGTTCAGTAAACATAAAGCTAGCAGGACAAGTAGTGGCTGTAGTTCAGCAAACATAAAGATAGCAGGACAAGTAGTGGCTGTAGTTCAGTAAACATAAAGATAGCAGGACAAGTACTGGCTGTTGTTCAGTAAACATAAAGATAGCAGGACGAGTAGTGGCTGTAGTTCAGTAAACATAAAGATAGCAGGACAGGTACTGGCTGTAGTTCAGTAAACATAAAGATAGCAGGACAGGTAGTGGCTGTTGTTCAGTAAACATAAAGATAGCAGGACAAGTAGTGGCTGTAGTTCAGTAAACATAAAGATAGCAGGACAAGTAGAGTGAGTGAGTATGGTTTTACGCCGCTTTTAGCAATATTCCAGCAATATCACGGCAGGGGACACCAGAAATGGGCTTCACACATTGTACCCATGTGGGGAATCGAACCCGGGTCTTCGGCGTGACGAGCGAACGCTTGAACCACTAGGCTACCCGACCGCCCAAGGACAAGTAGAGGCTGTTGTTCAGTAAACATAAAGATAGCAGGACAAGTAGAGGCTGGAGTTCAGTAAACCTAAAGATAGCAGGACAAGTAGTGGCTGTAGTTCAGTAAACATAAAGATAGCAGGACAAGTAGAGGCTGTAGTTCAGTAAACATAAAGATAGCAGGACAGGTACTGGCTGTAGTTCAGTAAACATAAAGATAGCAGGACAAGTAGAGGCTGGAGTTCAGTAAACATAAAGATAGCAGGACAAGTAGTGGCTGTAGTTCAGTAAACATAAAGATAGCAGGACAAGTAGAGGCTGTAGTTCAGTAAACGTAAAGATAGCAGGACAAGTACTGGCTGTAGTTCAGTAAACATAAAGATAGCAGGACAAGTACTGGCTGTTGTTCAGTAAACATAAAGATAGCAGGACAAGTACTGGCTGTAGTTCAGTAAACATAAAGATAGCAGGACAGGTACTGGCTGTTGTTCAGTTAACATAAAGATAGCAGGACAGGTACTTGCTGTTGTTCAGTTAACATAAAGATAGCAGGACAAGTACTGGCTGTTGTTCAGTAAACATAAAGATAGCAGGACAGGTACTGGCTGTTGTTCAGTAAACATAAAGATAGCAGGACGAGTAGTGGCTGTAGTTCAGTAAACATAAAGATAGCAGGACAGGTACTGGCTGTAGTTCAGTAAACATAAGGAAAGCAGGACAGGTACTGGCTGTAGTTCAGTAAACATAAAGATAGCAGGACAAGTAGAGTGAGTGAGTATGGTTTTACGCCGCTTTTAGCAATATTCCAGCAATATCACGGCAGGGGACACAAGAAATGGGCTTCACACATTGTACCAATGTGGGGAATCGAACCCGGGTCTTCGGCGTGACGAGCGAACGCTTGAACCACTAGGCTACCCGACCGCCCCAGGACAAGTAGAGGCTGTTGTTCAGTAAACATAAAGATAGCAGGACAAGTAGAGGCTGGAGTTCAGTAAACATAAAGATAGCAGGACAAGTAGTGGCTGTAGTTCAGTAAACATAAAGATAGCAGGACAGGTACTGGCTGTAGTTCAGTAAACATAAACATAGCAGGACAAGTAGTGGCTGTAGTTCAGTAAACATAAAGATAGCAGGACAAGTAGAGGCTGGAGTTCAGTAAACATAAAGATAGCAGGACAAGTAGTGGCTGTAGTTCAGTAAACATAAAGCTAGCAGGACAAGTAGTGGCTGTAGTTCAGTAAACATAAAGATAGCAGGACAAGTAGAGGCTGGAGTTTAGTAAACATAAAGATAGCAGGACAAGTAGTGGCTGTAGTTCAGTAAACATAAAGATAGCAGGACAAGTACTGGCTGTAGTTCAGTAAACATAAAGATAGCAGGACAAGTAGTGGCTGTTGTTCAGTAAACAAAAAGATAGCAGGACAAGTAGTGGCTGTAGTTCAGTAAACATAAACATAGCAGGACAAGTAGTGGCTGTTGTTCAGTAAACATAAAGATAGCAGGACAAGTAGTGGCTGTAGTTCAGTAAACATAAAGATAGCAGGACAAGTACTGGCTGTTGTTCAGTAAACATAAAGATAGCAGGACAAGTAGTGGCTGTAGTTCAGTAAACATAAAGATAGCAGGACAAGTAGTGGCTGTAGTTCAGTAAACATAAAGATAGCAGGACAAGTACTGGCTGTAGTTCAGTAAACATAAAGATAGCAGGACAAGTAGTGGCTGTTGTTCAGTGAACATAAAGATAGCAGGACAAGTAGTGGCTGTAGTTCAGTAAACATAAAGATAGCAGGACAAGTAGAGGCTGTAGTTCAGTAAACATAAAGATAGCAGGACAAGTACTGGCTGTAGTTCAGTAAACATAAAGATAGCAGGACAGGTACTGGCTGTAGTTCAGTAAACATAAAGATAGCAGGACAGGTACTGGCTGTTGTTCAGTAAACATAAAGATAGCAGGACAATTACTGGCTGTTGTTCAGTAAACATAAAGATAGCAGGACAAGTAGAGGCTGTAGTTCAGTAAACATAAAGATAGCAGGACAAGTACTGGCTGTTGTTCAGTAAACATAAAGACAGCAGGACAAGTAGAGGCTGTAGTTCAGTAAACATAAAGATGTGGGGAATTCCTATTGTTAACATTTCATTCTGGGGAATTCCTATGAGTAACATTTCATTCTGGGGAATTCCTATTGTTGATATTTCATTCTTGGGAATTCCTATGAGTAACATTTCATTCTGGGGAATTCCTGTGGTCATGTGAGTACCATCTTGTCCAATTTGAAAAACTCTATACATGTTAACTTTATTTCACAAAATTACCACCAAGCAGAGATGAACCCACACAATGCCCGTGTCTTGGTCCAACTTATTAAATATGTTGCATTTCCTCAAAGGTGCATTATGTGCAGAATTGAGCAAAGAATTATTTTGCATGTTTTAGAGCTGACAGATGATGGAAGGTTGCATGTTTGTGCTGGGAAGAATCATATAAAAAAATCTCTGTTATATATTCATTAAAATAAAAAGGAGACTTACAGTGTCTTCTACTGTAAAGAAACCACTAGCTGTTCGGCCACCCTCGATGTAGGCAATACCATTTTCAAACAGATCAAAGAAGTCGTCATCTTCATCATTCATTTCAACACGTATTGTGCGACAGTTGGCACCAAGCAGATTCCTCAGGTTCACAGCATGAATGGCAGCACAGGCTTTCTTGTCCAACTGCAACACAACACACTAATTACAACTACAAAAGTGTGTGCAAGTACGGGACAGAAGCAGTCCCTTCGCCGCCAGAAGGTCCCAGACATCATTACATACCTCCACACATTTGCCATGTGACACCATTACCTTCAGTTGGTGAAACTCATGACTACAATAACCTCATACCAGATCAAAGTACCTTGCCTCGCGCTGACATAATGAGTGAACACATTTCCACTCTCATGACAGCAGTTCCAGTCTAATGATATTTTTATGGTTAGGAAAGCACAAGCAGGTAGTCCTGTTTCTCCAGTCAGTCACCAGTAGTGATGTCATATTAGTGATGGGTATTGGCCTGAAGTTTGTATTGCATATTTATTGCAATAATAATTCATGTTTGGTGATACGTACCGCAATATATTGCATGTGTTCTTTCGTGTGAAATTTGTTATGAACCTGAACAAAAACACTCCCTCTGCATGTTTTTGACAACTTTGTATTTTGTTGGATTTTGCTATGATCACAAAGCATGTGTAATAGACACATCATATACAGGAAATTGTTACAAATGGTTTCACTGTTAAAACCACAGGAAAAAGTTGCTAATTTCTTAATTTCCATTTTAGTTGACACCAGTGTAAAATCTTGCAACAAGATAATATGCATGATTTGAAAAAGGCAATATACCGGAATTTTCGAAACGTATTGTGATACATATTCATTTGTATTTCATATTGTGGTATACCAGCAATATTGTGCACATCTATGTCATATGTAAATATGTATTGTTGTACATATTTGGTAATTTCTTTGTTGTGAAAATCAGGAGAATACTTAAAAAATCAATCATGAAATAGACTTTGCTAATCTTCCAATATTTGTTAATGCAATGAATTACAATATGGATATTCAATGTTCAATATCATAAAATATGTAGACCTAAGCCACAAAAGTTATGAACCTTAGATAATTTGTTTGTTTGAACAATATTTACATAAGAAATTGACAAATTTAGTGTTGAATACCATATTTCTTAACTTTAGACAAACGTTAGAAGATGAATGTCAATGTAACTGCAATGTGTACATATTTCTTTGGAGTGCAATATTCAATACTGTAATTTCAAATAAACACTTAATGAATATCCATTTCATTTTATTTCATTACTGAAACTAAAGATATTACTTTAACAAAATAGGTAATAGTTTTATTAAATATATATGCATACATTTTCCTTAGGGATCGTCTTGGTCTTGGAATTGTTTTTGGTCGTTTGATCGACAGAACATTGATATCTTATGATTCGCCAGGTGTGTGTTAGTCACAAACGATTCACAATTATTCCCCTCAATTTTAAATATATAATCAATTGTTTCACACTTTTTTTAATATTGAGATCACATGATATTAAACTGTTTGCTTCATTTCTCTAAGAACTTTGAAAAAATATATAATCCATGCCAATACCCCGTTGGTCGAACACTGATAATTGCATACAAACTGAGCTTTTTTCGCATCTTTTATAAAAATTAATTACCTCGTTATTATTGACCAAATTTAATTGTTATGATCTGTTCGTTTCCCTGAATTCACTGAAGGGATACGATGTAATTGTTTCTGCGTAAGACAAACACATTTTCATTGCAAATGAAGGGATTGTGTTTGCACAGGTGATGTATTTAATTCCAATTTGCTTCATGGATGGGGTATATAAATTAGCATCAGTTTTGAAGGCTTGTACGTGGGGTCGCTTTGTAGACGGCGATATACAATAACTTACATTAAACTAAGAATTTGCATAGCACATTTTCAAAGTAACAGCTGTTTAAAAGCACTTAGACCCTGATTGATCTAGTCAAAGACTTTCTTGAAGAGACAGGTTTTGAATGTCTTTTTAAAGTTTGTTAGATTTTCTGTTTCTTGAATTTCTTGTGGCAGATTGCTCAATATCAATGGAAGGTGGTCCTCCAATATTTAACGGCAAATTAAAATATTAAAAATTATGCCTAACTTGTGTGTCATGTCCCATTAAGATAAGCAAGGTCACGTGATTAGAAAGGTGGCATGCACAAAGAATTGCAATGTAATCAGAAGAAAATGACAATGGTTTCAATACTTTATGTCTTTTCTCATTTGTAAATTTTATGTACCAATAAGTGCAATCCTAAAATACCATGTACACCACCATTTTAACATATACTGTGATCATGAAAACAATTCTTTACTCAAAAATACAAAATAACTTCTTAATCAATATTGGGATCAAGCAGAACATCGAATGTTACGATCATTTACAAGTTTACATTTCATAGACACAAGATTATTCAGTATTTTCACATGTTCATGGATGTACTTAGACAACGAGATGAAAATAGGCAGCAAAATCCTCACAGGAAATGTCACTCTGATATCTTGAAAGAGTGAAAATGAAAAAGGCAAACGATTGTCATCTGCTATTGCTTCTTGTACTATTTGCTTTGATGCGAGTGATGAACATGAGAAATCATCAATCTTAAAGAAGTAAGATGACCTCAAAATAACCATGGCCGAGAAAATATTAGACATATCTCTATATTAGACATCTCACTATATTAGACATCTCTCTATATTAGACATCTCTCTATATTACAAAGATAATTGGTAACTAAAAGCATTAACTGAAAAAAATATTCCGTCTCTTACAAAATCCCCCCCTGCGCAGGAATATTAAATGAGCAGTCCCTTACCGTTGCTTTTTCTCCAATCCAGTACCATATCTGCCAGTCTAGGCTGTTAGTTTCATCAATAAATGTCTTCAGGACAATGTAACAGTCTGCCTCATAGAACTTCCCTACCAGGGCTGGAAGTATGATACATAAAAATAGGAAATAGTACCACAATGATCTGCAGCTCACCTGAATTACAAAAATAAATCACATTAGAATTCTGTGAGAACTACTTAGACAGACACAGACAGACAGACAGACAGACAGACAGACAGACAGACACACACTACATAATGACACATTAATAATTGCTCAGTAATAGGCACAAATGTAATTTTCAAAATGGCTGCTGTGGTGTCAATGTTAAAAACTGGATCCAAAATTCTGTGAACAGTATTTAGAGACACACCATTGATGGGATGCTTGTGATGTTACCATCTCTCTGATGTTACCTACCTTCCTCCACAATGTTGGGCAGAAAGTTTTCTATCTCCCAGCTTGTTAAACCTGCAAAAGACAACAGCAGATTATTCATTCAATAATTGTGCTTTTGAGGCTAAAATTAATATTTAGAATTTATCTGTTTCTCCCTCACAGCAAATAATCTACATGATTTACATCTGCTGGAACAAATGTACTGTTTTAGGCCATTGCTGCAATGCACATCATTTACATGTACACTGTCTATTTTTGAAAGTTCTATATTGTTGCAATCATCAACTTGTGCTTTGGTGAAGAAATATAGTATATTTTTGAAGATCTGCTCAGGAAGCGAGCACTACCGCCATTTTCAGTCGAAGGCAAAGTCGCTGCCAGGGAAACTCAAAACAATATTTTTTTTTTAAATCCCAAACTATCAAAAGGCACCAGTTTACCACTAGACCTATTTATGTGCCAAGTTTGGTGAAGAAATATTGTATAGTTTTCAAGATTTGTGCCAAGTTTGGTGATTTTCAGTCTAAGTCAAAGTTGTTGCCAGTGAAACTCAAAAAAGGAATTTTTCAAAAATCCAAAACTATCATAAGGCACCAGTTCTCCACAAGTCCTATGTATGTGCCAAGTTTGGTGAGGTTATCACTCATGGTTTTTGAGTTCTGCTCCGAAAACAAAACATGACGGAAGGATGGATGGAGGGAAGGACGGAGGGACAGCACCCATTCCTTTATCCCCCTTCCACTCCATGGCGGGTTTAAAAATTGAAACTGGCAGATATACAAAAACACCAACCCGGGCACGGTTGTCCCAGGCGCATAAGGCGCTGCAATTCGCTATGCAGAAACCTATGATGCCAGAAACATATGACAGTGTGTTCGAATCCCAGTTTGCCCTGGTTGTTTCTAGGTTTGTGAGCACCATACTCGTGCATCACTTTCGGCTTGCCTCCCACATCAAGCTGACACACCATGTAGGCCTGGAATACTATTCAAAGCTGCGTAAAACCCAACTCATTGATTTCCTATGTATCCAGAAGCAAAGACAATATACGGGTGTATAATCTCTGCTTAAAGTTAAAAAAAACAATAAACCATGTAGAACCGTAAACCATCCCATGAAACAGCATGAATCATTCATTACAAACCATGAATTACTTAAAACAATACTGTGCTTAACTATGCACAGCAAGCACCATACATATGATTATGAAGACAACCAATACAAAGTTCTCATCAAACCCATTGTATTACATTTGTTTTGTTTTTTCAAAGTCATTCTTAATTGTGTTGAACAATTAAGTTGCAATATCAGTGTGTAGGGAGAAAGATTAAGTGTGCATTACATGCTTGCCCGTAATTCCTCCCTGGAATTTTTCTCACTTGCTGCCTGAACATATGATACATTGCAAAAGTAGTGTGCTATAGAGCTTTTCGGGTAAGTGAGATAATCACTCACTCTCAAAACCTGTGGCAGCTTACAGCTTGAATAAGATACGATGTACAGCATTTCAAGGTCAGTGTGTGATAAAGTTATATACTACATATAGCTAAAGGAGATAATCGCTTTATGCGCAATGGTTTATTCTTACAAAACATAGACCAGTTAACTTTAGCAAAAGGAGATACATAACCCCTGAACAAACTATCTCTTTGAGTGAATGACCTCTTTTTGACCGTTTGAGCTCTTTCAGTTTCTTAGTGGATGATGCTAAAACATTTTCCACAATTGAAGAATATTTTTTTCAATTTTTTAGCATCCCATGAGCTGACCTGGTCCTTCGTTCCTGGTATGCTAAAAATATTCATGTGCAACTCAATGTTGATGTAGTTAACCACTTAAGCAGTATCATTACCTGGGATCTGTCCAACAGCTTCATCAAATATTTCCCTGTAGTCCAATTGAGGCCTGGTGAGGTGTTCATCCCATCTCTTGGGTCTTAAACAGAACATGGATGTAAGTACATGTCTCAGATGTGACACTGATGATGCAGGACAAATTAGCTTATACACAGCAAAGCTCTCTACACTTTCAAACACAGTGTCTGCAAGCAATCTTTCAAAAGCCTTCTCCCATGACGTAGTAAGGCCACTACAGTAAAATATTTTGCACAGGTAGATTGATTTTTAGTTAAAATTACTGCCTATGTCAGTTTTCATAACAGATCCTATTCATCATAACAGACATGTAAAATGATTTGTGGGTGGTACTAAACAATGTCATCTTCATCATGTTCATCAGCCCGCTGGAGGAGGCCATACACTACAGGCTGTGAAGGAATGTGTCTTTTGGATATGAATGAGTGTTAGATATTTTATATTTGTATACTTATCCTGCATTACTCCTTAATGCATTTACTGCTTGATTTTGACAGAAAGAAGCTGTGATTGGTCCTGCTGAAGAGAGTAAAAAGGTTGTTCCATTCCATGAGCAGGATCCCATGCCATCCCATGCCATGTCATCCCGAAAGTGGTATGACAACATGGAACTTTCATATTACTGTTAGTCGCACATAAATTGTCTGAAGTCATCATGGGGAGGCAAGTCTGTGATGGGTGGGCCTTGACGTAGTAATACAGGATAAGTATACAAATATTTTTTTTAATCTAGATTTTACTAGATTTTTTTTAACTTATCAAGCCTTTCACCTTTATGCATCTGTATCTGACGATATGGAGGTGGGGATATCTTAGATGTGTACTCAATAAACACTCTCACACAACCAGAAGTCGTCTTCTTCACAGATCAGTAAGTGATCAGCCAATCGTGTCCACGGAAAGGTATCACGGTATGAGTACGTCCGGGTAAACAAACAGTAAGAGACAATAGCGTGCGCTAGGGTCTAAAAACTGGATTACCAAACAATGTGTGTAAAAGCAGGGAAAATCCCCCTTTACAAGCGCATAATGTAACTCCATGAGTTGGGTAAGGATGGCTTTGGACATGATTAATTGTATTTACAGCGACGAGGGTGGGTCACCTGCTGGGCACAACCCAAAAACGCGAAAGCCCTCAATGTCTTCTAAAACCACGTCCCTCAGGTCAGTGGCTGGCAAAGACTGAGTCTGACCTCCAAAAACATCCTTCCATGATAGCTCTAACTGAACAATTATTGTGAAGAGCCATCATGAAGGCAACTGCCCGAATCTAATGGGGGGTTATTAGCTTTTGGCGGCATGAGATTGGCAATCTCGTATGCCTAAAGGATGAGAGCACGCAACCATTAAGAAATGGTATTACTGCTGACTTCGGACATGGACATCTGAGAAAAGGGAATAAACAATTCCATAATTCAATATTGAGCCGCAGACAAAAGCTGGTATTGAGAAGAACCTGAGGTGAACCGCTCCGTGAGTACCACGCTCCAAGCGTACACAAGTGATGTCGAGCACATGGATCTTGCTCACTCTTGCCGCCGTGTCTAGAGCCAAGAGAATTATTGTCTCCTTAGTGAGTTTAAAGAATGATATAACGTGGAGAGGCTCGAATGGAGTTCAATGCAAACATCGAAGTAGCAAATTCAGATCCCACGCAAGGGGACGAAATTTGGTCTTCTTATCCTCAAGCCTAAAGGAGCATAATTGAGCTTGCAGTTCTGGTATCTTAGTCATTATACGATCTTCCAGTACTGCCAACACTGATTTTCAAGCTACCAATTACTTGCTAATGGTGCTATCCTTCAAGTGTCATCTTGTACGCAGGTGAAGCTGATACTCAGCCAAGAAATGAGGCATCGCTTTAGTGGGGTCTTGAGCCTTTTCTTTACAATAGGTCTCAAATGATAGCCACTTATCATCATAAAGGCCTCAAAGGTCTATGTGTGAAAGCAATGACCTGAGCTGCTCGTGCCGAATGGCCTTTCTTGCCTAGGGCTCTTGTAAATGAACCAGGCATGTAGATGAAACCTGCCTGGCATGGGGTGAGCTTGCCTGCTGTGTGGATGTACTAGTACGTCCATGAACCACCCTCTCCCCGGCCACGACGGCATGATCAAAATCAGGGTGAGGCTCCTGGTTGCCCTTATCCTTTGCACTATCTTGGGAAGAAGAACTGGGGTGAAAAAGTGTACACTCTTAACCCCTCCCAAGGGATGCTTAGCGCATTGACCACTCACGTTTAGATCTGGCAGTTTTGGCATGTGGCGAATAGGTCGCTCCCCTTGGAAGACATGCCGGGAGATACTGAATCCTGTGATATAATCCGCAATGAAGATGGGGGAGCTGAGCCCACAGCAGGTGCAGCCATAGACATTTAGGGGACTAAAACAGTCGTCTGAGGTGCTACAAGCACTGGATGCGTTGTACATGGTAGGGTAGCTGTATTAACCTGAGGTGCAAGTGGTATGTAAGGTGCCGAAGACACTAGTGTAGACTGCTGGTAGGCAGGTGCAGGTGCCTGTAAAAGGGGTCACGGATTCCCCTCTTGAAATATAGCCTGATTAAAAGAGTCCATGTAGGGTGCTGGCTGTAAGAGGACTTGTGGTGCTGCTGGTAACCCCGAGGCGCAGTTTAACCACTGGTCATGATGGAAGTCAGCACAGGTAGAGTTGAAGCCCGAGGACACAGCTAAGGTGGAGTTGCCAAGTATTGCAGGGATAGCATAGGTAGGCAAATTACCAACATTGTTTGCTGCGCTTGAGCTGTAGATGCTGGCGTAGAAGCTACAATAATGCTCTGCACTTGGGTAGTGTGAAAAAACAGCAGGATGTCAGAGGTCCCCGTGGGCGTGGATAGCGCCCAACCCGTTTAAGTGGTAGGTCGGGTGGTAATCACTGGGGAGGTCTGCAATGTAGACTCCTGAGAATCCGACATCCTCCGCAGAGATAGCTGAGCCTGGTGCATGGAGAATACCTGCTCATACCTGTCAAATCCTGAGGGGGAAAGTGGTGAACAAAAATTACGCTGTTAGACACGACATACAAAATTAGTACCCTGTACGATTTAAACACCGTGGGTACAGATGTTTAATAGATTTTTTTACCACTGCAAATAGCACAATGCTCGTTGTACTATTTGCAGTGGTAATCAAATCTAATAAAGATAATAAATTGGAAACCAATTTAAGTTGAAGTTGTAAATAGATTGATTATCCAATTATAGAGAACAAAGCTGAATTCAAAATAATGGATTTATGTTATGATATAGGAATTGTATTAGAGTATAACAACTGAGAAAGTAACTTGTGCAAGTAACTTGTATAACATGAACCAATTTACGGTGAAGTTGCAATGAATACGAAACCCAATTATGGAGAACAAACAAAGTATAAATTCAAAATAATGGATATAGAGCGTATTATAATATGTGTTTTGCATTATAAACGTCAATAGATGGCTAAAGGTGTACATACACAAATCTAACACCTAGCTGACAATGAAATACAATACGAAAGTCGCGAAAGACCGTGACACATTTGCAATTCAAAATGGCACAGGACAATGCATGAAAGACTGACAAATATCACCTTCAATTGCTAATAATAAATATTACTGCATATAAATAATGTCAAACCAAACACCACCTGTTCACAGGGGGAAGGGGCTAGGTTGAAAGCAAGTTGAAGACCACAGGAAACAGCAAAAGACTGAGGACCAATTTAGCAGAAGATGTTATCTATCAAGTGACCAAGAGAAATATGGAAGTTCCGTGACGTCACCACCTCTGGGTTGACACGACAGCTGGTGATTAGGGTTCCTGCTCATTGAATAGGAAATCATATCTTCATTTCTGTCAAAAGCAAGCTGTGAATGCATTAAGGAGTAATGCAGGATAAATTAAAAAAATAATAATAATAATGTTAACACAACATATTACATGTTTAGATATGTTGGCTTGAGTTACTTACATGGCTGAGGTTACATTTTAGATAACATTGCTACTTATTTCACAAGTACAGTATAGATTTTAGGTTTCATGAAGTTTGGTTATTTGATACAATGCTTATGGAGCTGGTCCACTGTTCAAGGTCTATATCGTGAAAAGACATGTGATCCCTCTATAGGAGATGGATAACTCTGGTCTTATATACTGATGTACCTCTTCATTACATTAGATACCTCTTCATTACATAAGAACACCAAGCTAACTAGGGCATACACCTGTCTACTGTATAGGTAAACACACTCCAGTCTGCCTCCGAGAGTAAATGTGTCAAGTCAGACCTGCTTCTTGTTTTTCTGTAATTAGTGTTTGGATAACACGGGATATTGAAACATGGTAGCAGCGGTGCGGAATTAACTTGATGTTGATGTTTACTGCTAGAATTGACACTGTCAGTAGTGCTGGGTGCCTACACGGAGGGGACAGTTCACCAAGCGAGTGAGTATTTCTCGGACCTCGGCAGAATCGCACGTGCTTTGCGACTACAGGACTTTGATTATTCTGGATTAATTGTGCATTTTGGTGAATGAATGAACATTTCACAGGAATTTCACATTCGATTTCCTAACTGATGGTCAGGAAGAACGTGAACTGGGCGGACATGACGACCACGTGGGCGTGCAGATACCGCATGGTAGGAGAATGCCGTTGCCGAATTTGACACCTCCACTGCCGCTGAAAATGTCGGGTGATTTGGCAGATAATTGGAGAACATGGAAACAGGCGTGGCAGAACTTTGTGATTGTCTCACAACTAGAAGATAACCCAATGAATTATCAAGCTGCTGCTTTATTGCATTCTATAGGAACTGATGCACTAGAAGTCTACAATGCAATGGAATTCTTGCTGGAAGAACACAGGGATGTGACTACTATTATGGCCAAATTTGATTAACACACAATTGGAGAAACTAATGAGACGTATGAACGATACATTTTGAACAATCATGTACAGTCAGATGGAGAAAGTTTTGAGGAATATCTCACAGCTATTCGCACACTCTCAAAGAGCTGTAACTTTTGTGAATGTCTACGTGAATCACTATTAAGGGACAGAATA